CACACTCACCTGTCCAGGCTCTAGCCATGCTTTCCCCACACTCACCTGTCCAGGCTCTAGCCATGCTTTCCCCACACTCACCTGTCCAGGCTCTAGCCATCCTTTCCCACACTCACCTGTCCAGGCTCTAGCCATGCTTTCCCCACACTCACCTGTCCAGCTCTAGCCATGCTTTCCCCACACTCACCTGTCCAGAAGGGAAGGCAGCCAGCCCTGTGGAGAGGTGGCACAGCTCCTGCAGTAGGAGGCAGGGATGTGTCAGCCCTTGGAGAGGATGGGCAGTGCAGGGAAGAGATGCCCAGCCTGGAGGAGACGGAGATGTGGCAGTGCCAGAGGATGGGTTCTCACCCCTGGCTGGTGCACGGAGCAGTGCTCTGCACCCCTCTGGAGACAGCCCTATTTGAGCTGGCTGCAGGGTGGGGTGGCAACTGTAAACACCCTGGGATACAGAACATATAAATCATTAGGTGATAGCACAGTTTAGAAAGTGCAATTCCCCAGAATTTGTTTGTGGAGGCCGGTTAAATATTGTTTAGGCGGAGTCAAGTGACTGTGGATGTTTGGAGGTGATTTCCAGTGATAAAGTGGTTTAATTGGTATTGCTGAAGAAAGTTTCCAGCTTCCCATTTCAATGATGGTTTTATTTATTTATTACAAGAGACATAATTAAGTCATTGCAAGGAAAGATCAAAGTCTAAAATGGATTTCCCATAGTTGTGGTTTAGAAATGATGATGCTTCTTGTTATACAAAGATGCCACATGCGAGATGGAGATTAAATCCCAGGCAACAGCCTGAAAACATCTGTACTGGGTCAGGCTGGGATGGAGCTCCCTTTCCTCATAGCACAGGGATGGGACCCAGCCAAGTTGCCATAGCACACTCCATACCTTGTCTATCCCTTGACCCAGTTTTTCACTTTTGCTCTCCCAGTTCCCTCCACCTGCCCCACTTTGGGCTGGGGGATGGAGCTGTGCCAGCCCACCACAACACCCTCGTTCTTCACACCCTTACAGGAAGGCATGAGGAGTACCTGAGTGCCTTATCCTGCAAGTGTCCTGCCAACAGGGAGAGTTATCCCTCTCCATCACCCGTGCCAGGGCTGAGGCTGCCTCCTGCCCTTCTTTCCTAGATTGTTTTGCTGAGGAAATTGCAGTGAAAGGTCAGTAGGGAAAGGTGTCTTTGTCTGTCAGCCTGGAATGGGCCTGAGATATGTCCAAGGCGTGCACTTAGATTTGTCAGTTTGTCCCACTTCTATAAACACACAGTAGAACAGGGGTGTGTAATTTGGATTTTTGGAGGTGAAAGGTGACTTCGTTTTTGGGGTACTGAAGCTGAGTAAGAGACCTCTGGCTTTCACCTTCTGAGGAAACTGAACATGGAAATCTACACTCCAGGGAAAGGGCAGAGCAGCTCTGGCCACACTCATCTGGAGGCACTGGAAGGGGCAAGACAAAGGCTGCACCCAGAAGAGTCCTGCAGCACTTGAAGAGCAGGACATTGCCATATTTCTTACAAGGTGCTCCAGCCTCCTGAGGGTCATGTGCAGCTCCTGCTGAAGCACCACCACTGCAGAGACTGAATGGGATTGATGCCTCAGGTTTAGCTTTTATACTTTTCAGATTCTGTGCTGCTTTAGTGTGGAAGTCTAGGCATCATATTATGGGATGGTGAGCTGTTATAGAGTAGGGAGACAAAACAATTCCTTCTGTAGCTGGGAACCAAGGACAACCACCCAAATTTCAGGCCCAAGATGATAAACAACTGTGAATTGAAGAACAAAAACAAGCAGGATGGGACTTATAACCTGAAGGTATAATTAGACAATTAACTCAATATGCAAATGGAGCAGAACTTATAAAACTGAGAGCCCCTGTGAGCAGGTGTCCATTTTGTGACCATTTTGGTTCACTTTGGGTGCAGCCCTGGCTGGGCTCTTGTGCTGCCCAAGGTGGATCCATGGAGGAGATCCTTTTAATAAATCCCTACTTTATTCTTTAACTCTGTCTGGGCTCTGTTCTAGGTCAGCTTCTCAAGGCATCGGGATCAAGGAGAGCCCCTTGAACTTCACTGCATGGCCAGACCCTGTAAACTCAGCTCCATCCACCTCCTGCTGCAGGGTCACTGACAGCTCATCAGCCTCTGTGGAGGTCACCATCTCCACATCCTTCCCACCAGGCATTCCAGACTGGACGTAGCATCCAGATGTCACCTTCCTTGGTGGGGGTGACAACAGCCAGTGCCCCTTGCCTGCTCCTGTGGCCCAGGCCAGGGCTCTCCATCCTTGCAGGGAGAGCACATTGCTGGCTTGTATCCAGTGTTGTGCCTGCCACCCTTCCCAGCTCCTTTCCAGTCAGGCTGTTGTGCCACAGCTCCTAATCTGTGTCCCCGTGCCCTGCCCTCATCCAGGGCCAGCTGCCACCAGCACATACTTCAGGTAGGTGTTTAGCCCGAAAGCAGGCACATGTCACACATCCAAGGGTTCTCACCCAGCTCCTGCCTCCCTCTCTTGCACCACTCCTGCTTTTTTGCTGGCAGTCCCCACGTGCTCATCAGGTGAGCACAGCACTTTTTCCACTGCAGTGGAAACTTCAGCACTACCCATCATGCTCAAGCTTAATAATTGAGTTTTCTGTAAAATTACTGCCAGAGATTCTGCCTTAATTCTTGGTGTTCCTCTTTTGGCCTCAACTCTTTAAGTGTAATAATGTCTTAATACTGTTCAGCATCTAATAGGTGTTAGAAAGGATTCAAAGGAGACGATGGTGAAGGGTCTGGAGGGTCACACAGGGACTGGCTGAGGGAATTTGGTTTGTTCAGCTGGAGCAGAGCACACTGAGGTCAGACTTCACCAGGGGCTGCAGCTCCTCCCCAGGGCAGCCCCGAGCTCTGCTCTGTGACAGGGACAGGGCCAGGGAATGGCTGGAGCTGGGCCAGGTTGGAGATCACGGAAAGGTGCTTCTCTGAGAGGGTGCTGGGCACTGCCGAGGCTCCCCAGGGAATGGGCACAGCCCTGAGGCTGCCAGAGCTCCACACAGGGTGGGATTGTTGGGGTGTCTGGGCAGGGCCAGGAGTTGGACTGATGAGCCCTGTGGGTCCCTTCCAGCTCAGGATATTCCATGGTTCTATGACTCTGTGACTGCTTTCCTGCCTGCTTCCACATGTGAGAGACTCTGCTGAGCTCACTGGCATGCCGAGCTGGCAGTGACAATCCAGGTGACCACTCAGAGCCATCAACCATTCCCAAGCACATCTCCCACACAGAGCCATTCAGTGGCCAGTGGGTCAAATATTATGAGGTTTCAGAAATCTCCTTTTCACAAAGACACCAGCAATGGTGGTGACAAATGGTGGTGACAATCCCCTGCTGAAGTACAACCCCACGGGTCCTCTGGGAGACAGCAGAATCTGGATGGATCCACAGCAGGCAGGGACTAGGAAAAGGTGCCAGCTCTGCAGGAGGTGCTGAGGAGGGGACACAACCTCCTGAGGCTTCTTTTGGGGGCAGCGGTGTTGAGAAGAGAAAACCTCCCACAAATGGGAATCCACAGCTGTAAACTCTCACATGTTGGACAGTCACTTATACAGCCCATCTTTTATTTTTGTGAAAAAAAGTGCCAGGCCGAGCACATGTCCTCCTCTGTGAGGGCCCCACAACACATGGGAAGGGGAGACAGGGGCTCCCACCTCTCTCCAGGAAGAGCCTATTAAACAACACCTGCCCTGAGGTCAGCTCGGAGCTCCCTTGGAAGGGGAGCACCACCGACACCTGCCTGTGCCTCGGGCACAAGAGCTTCACACCTCTCTGTAGATAAACACCTCTGCCAAAGCGTCGGCTTCTGGTGTCCCCCATACCACAACGATCCTATCACAGGTTTTCTGGAACATCTCCTCCCACCCGCGCAGCTGGGTAAGGGCAGCAACCCAGATCCTTCCCCAGCTGCCCACTCTCAGGGCTCTGGGCACGGGAGGTTGTTTTCCTGAGGCAGAGGCATTGCACAGTGTCACCACGCAGTGTCACCACGCAGTGTCACCGCCCCTCAGCACTGTTTGCTCCGGGCCCAGCATCCCGCTTTCCTCACAGCCAGCTACGGCTCCTTGCAAAACAGCAGCGCCTTCTGGAAGGTGTCACACCCACAGCTCCTGCTGGGAGCACCTCCAGCAGGGCAGGAGTGGATAGGGCAGGGGCAGCTCAGTGAGGGTGGGGCAGACCCAGCTCCGGACCGCTGGCAGGTGTGTGTGACACGGGTGTGTGTGTGACACAGGTGTGTGTGACACGGGTGTGTGTGACACAGGTGTGTGTGACACGGGGGTGTGTGACACTGGGTGTGTGACACGGGTGTGCACAGGAGTGTGTGACACCAGTGTGTGTGACACAAGGATGTGTGTGTGACACAGGGGCGTGTGACACAGGGGTGCATGTGACACGGGGGTGTGTGACACAGGAGTGTCTGTGTGTGTATAGGTGTGTGTGACACAGGGCTGTGAGATGTGGGGGTGTGTGACACAAGGGTGTCTGTGTGTCCAGCTGTGTGCACCAGGCAGGCTTGCACGTACAGGGTGTGTGTGTGTACAGGTGTGCACATACAGGTGTGTGCTCAGCACAGGTGTACCCGTACAGAGGTGTCAGTCCAGGTGTGTGCCCAGCACAGGTGTGCCCATACAGAGGTGTCAGTCCAGGTGTGTGCCCAGCACAGGTGTGTGCCCGTACAGATGTGTGTGCCCGTACAGATGTGTGTGCCCAGGTGTGTGCCCAGCACAGGTGTGTGCCCGTACAGATGTGTGTGCCCGTACAGATGTGTGTGCCCAGGTGTGTGCCCAGCACAGGTGTGTGCGCGGGTTCCCGCGCGCGCACACGTGCGGGCTGTAGGCGTGGCTATTCCCCGCCCCGCCCATGGGCGTGGCTCGCTCCCGGGGGCGCGCGGCAGCGCGGGAGGCCCCGCCCACCGCGGGGCGTGTCCCGGGGCGTGTCGGTGCCGCTGTCACCGCGGGTGCCCGGCTTGCGCGGCGGCCATGGCGCGGGTGCTGGTGGTGGGCGCGGGGCTGACGGGCGCGGCGGGCGCGGCGCTGCTGCGCGGGGCCCCGCGGGGACAAGTGGCCGTCTGGGACAAGGCGCGGGGCTCAGGTGGGTCCGGCGGGGCGGGGGAGCCCTGGCGTGTGGTGTGGTGGCGTGTGTAGTGTGGTGTCATGTGTGGCGTGTCGCGCAGGGGGCCGCATGAGCACGACCCGCACCGACCGCGGCAGCGCTGACCTGGGCGCGCAGTTCGTCACCTGCGAGCCGGAGCTGGCGGGGCCGCGGCTCAGGTGAGACCCGCCCCATCCCGTCCCGTCCCATCCCATCCCGCCCCAGCGCTTCCGTGCCGGGTCGGGAGGGGTTGGTGGCCCGGCGTGGGGACACGGAGGGACCCCGCTGCTGGGGTCCGTGCTCTGGTGCTTTAACCCCTGCCAGCCCCCAAACCCCCGCAGCCGCTCGCTCGCTGCCCTCTCTGCGGGATTTGCGGGCAGGAGTGGAGGGGTGAAAGCCGGGAAAGGTGTAGGTTAGGATGAAAGGTGCAGGGGTAGCTCGCCTGTACCTTGGGGAAGGGGACGGAGGTGTAGCAGCGGTGTGAAAATGCAAAATTTGCCTGGGAAGCAGCGAAAAGGCAGGTGCGTTTCGGGCACCTGAATATTCCTATGCTTCGCAGCGGCTGTGGAGTTCGTGCTGCTGTTCTGAGCTTTAGGGAAATGCTGTGTATTCCTCTGCCTCCTGCCCAACTGCTGGTAGTTCCATCACAGGTAGCCTTGCTCTCAGGTAAAATGCTAGGCCCAATGCAATAGCAAGGCAGTTTGTTGTTTTATTGCTGCATTTATGCATAACCTGCCTTAAAGTGCATCCTATTAACATTCTGGCTGGTCTTTACTTTGATTAAGAAACAGAGCGAGTTTTCATGTGTGTTTCCGTGTATTCATCTGTATTTCCTGTGTATTTCTTCCTTTCTAGCTTCTACGAGGAGCTTGTCACTCACGGCATCCTGAAGCCACTGACCGCTCCCGTGGAAGGAATGGTGGTGAGAGAAGGCTCCCGCAATTACGTGGCACCCCAGGGCATCTCCTCGGTTGTCAAGTACTATTTGGAGCAGTCAGGTAATGCCTTTGGATGCCTTTGTGTGAAGGGAAAGGTTTTAATGGCTGTGTTTTTGGCGGTGCCTTTGAACGGTTTTTTAATTTAAATCCCTGATGAGGATGTTGACGCTCCTCGTTGGTTTATGTATGTCTGGAAGTCGCTTGGGTGGATAAACGTGTCTGTGAGCTCGGTGAATTTCCGAGTCCTGCAGGTATAAAAATCTTTGTACCAACAGAACATCTGCTGTGTAGCTGGGGGCAGAGGGGTGAGCTCCACCCTGTGTTTTGGGGAAAGGATGTGAGCCTGCTGGGTGGAGAGTCCTTTGGGAAATGAGTTTAAACTCTCTAACTACTGCCTTAGATGCCATGTGGCACAACCACGTGTGCAGTTCAATGACTTATTTAATCCTGTTCAGAGAAGTTTGAGCTGAGAGAATAGTCAAGCTTTGGCATTCCCTGCAACTGATTTCATTTAGTTTTTTAATCAGCTGGTTTTTATACCCTAACCTTGTAAATAATTAGCTATATTCCTGCCCTCTGGCAGTGGGGAGCCATTCCCCCTTTTCCCCCTTGTAATAACTCTCTCTGTGTGCATTTTCCCTGTGGAATTCCCTGCTGTAAGGTATTCAGCTGCTGCTTTTTCCCACGCAGGTGCAGACGTGTCCTATGAGCGGCACGTAACTCACATCTCTCTGCGGGATGGCAGGTGGGAAGTCTCCAGGAAAGCTGGGCCCCCGGAGCAGTTTGATGTGGTAATTCTCACCATGCCTGTACCACAGATTCTCCAGCTGCAAGGTGACATTGTGAACAGTAAGTTTGGGCCCTCAAGGTGGCAGGTGTCGAATTTAAAATAGCATTTGAGCATCTTGTGAAGCAAAAAATAACAGTCAGCGGTCTGAGCTGCTTAATTATTCCATCGAGACAGGTTGGAAAATGATAAGAGGTGGGTAATTTCAAGGCCATATGTGTTTTGATGGCATAAAATACCTAAATGGATGAGTCAGTTTTGAATCTGATCTTTAATTTTTTTGCTGACTTCTAAAGCAGGGCTTGTCTTTGTGCAGCTTGCAAATAGTTACTGAATTGCACAAGTTTTCTTGAGCATTTCTGTAAAGAGAAGGATCTTCATTACAACCTCTGATTTTAAGCTTTGTGCCTAAATAGGTGAATATTCTGTAAGAACAGGACTTCTCTGCTAATTGCTGTTTCATGAGGCCTCCCATTTACTCTGGAAAATAGTGGTGGGTCCGGCCCATCCTGTCCTTACTGTGATGCTCTGGTTAATAGTGAAAGACATAAAAATAGAATAAGAAATGGCATAGAAAAATAGAAATAAAAAGTAGAAGAGAAGTAGAGTGTTTTTTTCAGAGCCTTCCTGAGTTTCTGCTGTCTGCATCTCAAGGCCTTCCCCAGCTGGCACTGATGTCTTTGCAAATTGTTTTTCTTGGGGTAATTAAATCCTTTCTTGTCCAGAAAGCAGGCAGCTCCCCTTCAGAAAGGTGTAATTAAGGTGAACAGCTCATTTCACTTGCTCTTGGGTGAGCTGGAGCTGTCAGATGCTTCCCACAACATCCTCTCTTCATACTCTGTGTAACTGCAGGATTGACTTTTATCTGAGGGAATCCAGCAAGTTTTGTCTTCTCCTCCCCTTCTTCCTGTTTCTCTTGCCCTCTCTGCCTGTTCCCTGGGTGAGACCAGCTTCCAGATGTCCATCCAGCTGTTCATTCTGCATCTCAGGCTGCAGGACTGACTCCCCCTGCCCCAGAGCTCCTTGGCATTGGAGCCATGGGCAGCTTTACTCCTGGTTCTTTAAGCTGAGAGCTAAGTGTGGGGAAGAGCAGCTGAGGAGGGTGTTTCAGAGCCTGAGCAGGGTGCAGTTTCAGCTCTGTTTTGACTTACAGAAGCTCGGGTGCATCGCTGTGTGTAAATCTCAGCGTTGTTTTGGTTGTGTGTCAGAGAACCGAGTTTTGCTGGCAGAGAAGGGAGCTTTCCCTGGATTCACCTCGCTTGGGATTTAAGATGCAGTTTCCTGACAGCTGCTGGAAGGAATGGGTGTTCTCTCCCCTCCACACTGACACTTTTTAGTCATTTGTACGCTATGGTCTCCCAAATCCAGGGGCAAAAATGGGATTCTAGCAGGAGCCATGTTTGTGCATTCCCGGTAGCGATTCCAGCTGCTCCTGGAAGGGGAGGTTCCTGCTGCCTGTTGGAAACTTCCCTCTGGCTGTCACTGCGGGTGACAGGGCTCTGTTGCTGCCGTGGGACGAAACAGGAGATGTGCAGAGCTGGAGGAAGAGGAGGGCTTCCTCCTGTGTGGCCAGCAAAGGGTCACGTGCGGCCACTCCGCCACCGCGGGCGGCTTAAAGGGAAGGGGACAGGATTTGGGAGTATTCCCTGCTGCCCTGGGAGGCCCTTATTGTATAGAAGAAGGACTCTGGAGCCAACTGAAAAATCTGCCTGGTCAGTGTTAATCCCAGTGGCTGTTGTGGTTTGGGATGAGGGGTGTTAAAGGAACCAGTTCTGGCTGCTCCTGCTGCTCTGGTGTCACATCCCTGCTTTGGCAGCTCCTTCATCAGGGGCATTTATTTATTAAACTCATCTATGGGTTTAAAGCTCTACCACATCCCCCTTTTCTTGTCCCATTTGAGCTGCTCCCTTTTTGGGGCAGTTTTGCCACGGGTTGAAGTGCTTGGCTGGAGACCTGTGCCAGGACCCTCTTGAGCCACTTGGGTATAATTGAGTTCCCAGTTGAAAGCCAGATGAATTTTTAAATGGGTTGTGGTGAGGCGTTGCTGGCATTAATGTGTGGCTAAAGGCTGCAGGAGAGGAGAAGGAGCAAAGGAAGAGCCGGGTGGGGTAGGGGTTGCTTTGATCCATTAGTGAGGGCTGGAATTAGCTTTTGACATTTGAGCCTGAATTGGAGAGTTCAAATGACTTGCCAGAGTCAGAGGTGGGAATTTAACCCTCTGGAATTCATCTTTTCCTGTCTGAGGGAGGAGGTCTTTTGCCCCCCACCCCATTTTTTTTGAAAACAATTTTCACTTATTTACAGCATACTCGGAAAATTAATATCTTGAAACAACCTCTCAAATTTTACATTGCTGTTTGAATACTTGAACTCAGCAGACTAAACTAGACTGGATAGTTTTTGTGTCCTTTAACCTCTTAGATGAGCCTGAACATGATATCATTGTGGAGCAACTGTTTGTGTTTAGGAGGAGACAGAATTAAGTGGCCTTTGGCAACCTAAAGTGACCATTTTATATGGGCTGTGTGAAAAATGAATGTTCCAGATTTACTTATCTTGTGAGAGAAAAGCCACGTCTTAGATTCATGGAGAAATTAGTGTGTAAACATGCCCAATTTTAAAAAACAGATATAAAATAAATAATGTAATAAGCAGTGTGTGTATGTGTTTGTGAGTGTATATATATATATATATAATTCACCTTATTTTTCAGCCTTTATTTGTTATTTCTACAATTATCACACCCAAATAGATGCTAATTATTCAGTTGCATATTTAGCAGCAGCAGAGCCAGAATTACTTCCAGCATGACATCCAGTAGCTGCTGCATAAAGGGTTAACTCCTTGCAACATGTTTGGAACAACAATAGGTGGCAGCAATCAAATGATGTTTGGGACATTCAGCTTGAATAACTAAATTAAATTCACTGCACTGATTTGGGCTTTACGTATTCTGCTAGTAAATATTGGGGTTGTGCAGCGGATAAAAGGGAGATGAATAAATGTTTCTGAGGTTTGTAATGTCAGTTCAAGGAAAGGAATAAATTTACTTAAAAGTAGGATCTTGGCAAATCAAAGGACAAGATTTTGCAAGTTGTTCATTGTCCAACAGTATTTCAAAGGTGCTGGACTGTTACACAGACTGTTGATGTTAGAAAAATCCTAGATTTATAGCCCAAATTCCATATGATCACTGAGCAGTGTAGTTCTTTCCCTGCATTTTCATATCAGTTGGAGAAGCCTTCTTATCAGTTCTGGTTTTTAGTTTAAGGCATTTGGCAACATGGCAATTTAAGGTTGCAGTGATTTGCAGTAGTTTTTTTTTTTAATTATTATTTGTGCGTTCAGAATGTTTTCATTATGTTGCTTTCCTTGGAATTTCAAATTACAGTTCTGCATGTTTAAGCTGCTAATAAAACAGGATGGCTTGGCTTTTGTTTCGAGCCTGACCTATTTTTTTTTTTTTTCCATCTGTGTGAATGTCCCACATGTTTTAAATAATACAAGCTGATGAGAAGATACAAGTGAAATAGGGCTGTATTTGCGTGGGAAGGCTTTATAATGTGAGTTAGGAAAGCACAAAACTCTGATAATTTTTCACGAGTCACAAGTCCTTGCTGAGTGAATCTGTTTATTTTTGGATAGCACGACGATAAATTCGGAATTCTGTGCTTCCAGTTCCAAGCAATCTAAGCAGGGCTTATCCAGCTTGGAGCTCTCATTACCTAACAGATCTGAAATGTGCACTGTAAACATGTACACTGATTTGTTAGTTGCTTATCAGGGAGCTGAGGCCTCAATGTGGAAATATTTGGGCTTTTTTGGAAACATAATTGGAGGAGTTCTTGGTTGTGCTCCTTTTAAAACCTGGCTGGAGAGCACCCAGTGCTGCCTGAGGCTGTGGCAGGGGAAGGGTGTGTGGTAAATTTGGGTGATCCCTGGCACGGGAGTGCCAAAGACAGTACTGTGGCTGCAGCAGGACATGGAGCATCCATCCCTGTGCAGGAAACCCTCGTGTCCTGCTGGGTTTTGGGGCAGGATTCACCCCTGGCACTCAGGGAGAGCTGTTCCCTGCTGGGATGCAGGGCCAGGCTGCCAGTCCCTGTGTCCCTCTGCTGCTGCCAGCTCTGCCCCAAACCCTGCCCAGCAGCGTTTTGGGCCCTGCTGTGAGGCGATCTCACCAGTCCAGCGGGGAGATGGAGATTTCTGTCATGCCGTCCCTGAATGGTTTGGGTTGGAAGGACCTTAAAAACCTTTGTGCCACCCCTGCCATGGGCAGGGACATCTTCCACTGTCCCAGACTGCTCCAAGCCCCAAAGTCCAACCTGGCCTTGGGCACTGCCAGGGATCCAGGGGCAGCCACAGCTGCTCTGGGCACCCTGTGCCAGGGCCTGCCCACCCTGCCAGGGAACAATTCCTTCCCAAAATCCCATCTAACCCTACTTTCTTCCAGTTTGAAGCCATTCCCTGTATCCAGGCCCTTGTAAGGAGTCTCCATCTTTTTTGTTGGCTCCTCCAGGCCCTGTAAGGCCTCAATTCGGTCACCCCAGAGCTTCTCCTCTCCGGGCTGAACACCCCCAGCTCTCCCAGCAGAGCTGCTCCCTCCCTCAGATCATCTCCATGGCCCTCCTTTTGGGAGGTTGTTTTCTTTTGGTTTTGGGGAGGCTGTTTTTGTTGTTATTGTCGAGGATTTGCTCTTGGGATGGTCTGACGGGCGTGAGGGAGGGAGAAGGTGGCGCTGCACCCCTGGGGAGCAGGGCAGTGTCTGAGGAGGAGCCGCTGCCTCCAGAACCTCTCTGGCAGCCTTCAAAGCAGGGCAGAGCTCCTCTTGTGCTCACTGCCTGCTGCAGCTCGGGTATAGCCTCTCTGAGGGAGTACTTCTAAAAATAAAGGCTGCCTGAGCTGGAATTGCACATCAGGAGGAGAGGAAAAAAAAAGTCAAAGTAGGCCGTGTGTATTCTTCAGTGTGTGTTTGGCTTAGTGTGTTTTTAGGTGTTGTTTTGTTTTTTTTTTTAATATCTACAGTGCCTATAATGGACTTATTCTGCAGTTACTGAGCACA